TGTCGAACTTCAAACGTGCTCATTGTTTACCGTCCTAAGGTAAACTAGCTTTTCGTCGACACCCGTTTGAACTCGGGAAGTAATATATAGTTAGCCAGCTTTTGGGTAATTTGGAGTGAAAGTTAGATTAAAGTACACTAGTTTTGTACTAAAATACTGTTACACGTACTTAATATGTAGTTTTTTACTTATTATATTTATTTATCATCATCATCATAATTTAAGCCAAAAGACGTCCACTGCTGAACATAGCCCTCCTGCAAAGAATGCCTCAACGACCTGTCCTGTGTTTGCATCCAGTATATTCTGTAATCTGTAATCCAGCGGATTCCTGCAACCTACACCAGGTCATCAGTTCACCTTGTGGGTGGGTGGTCTCTTTTGCCCGGTTGCCACTCGAGAACTCTTCGGTCCTATGGGCCATCTGTTCTGCGAGCATTGACCCAAAGCTAACTGCCACTTAAGTTTTACAATTCTTTGGGCTATGTCAGCTACTCTGGTTCCCTCGCGGTTAAGCTCATTACTGATTCTCTCAGCGAAACTCCGAAAATAGCCCTTTCCATCGCACTTTGGGTGACTTTGAGCCTTCTGATGAGGCCTATGATGAGCGTCCACATCTGTGCCGTAAGTCACCACTGCACTCGTCGAAGACTTTTGTCTTGAGATTGTTAGCAAAATCTACATAATCAATTATTTAATTTAAAATGCTTATTACTACTTGCAATAACTATCAGATTTTAAAAGTTGCCCATTCGATTTGGGTATAATCAATAAAAAAAAACATAATGGCAATACTAAAAGATATTGGTGGTGTCTTGTGCCGTAAAAACCAATAAAAATAGAATTGGTGGGGAGGTTCGAAAAAGAGATGCGAGATAGAAGTGAATTAACGGGAGAAGCGTTATTTTCCTGAAAACATATATGTTTTTACGGGTTTTGAGCGCTGCATCCGATTCGTATTCGTTTCGAATCCGATATTATACAAATCTAGAAAACTTCGACCCACTTCGGATGTCACTTGTGCACTAAGTCCGGTTCGAATCCGAGAAAATACGAATATCGCTTATACACCTGTACAAGCGATATTCGTATTTTCTCTAGGCAGAGATAAAATGATTCCGTGACATTTCGGACCGCCATTTCGGATTCGGAACTGATACGAATCGGGCGTAGTGCGCAAACGCTCTAGGGATTCCATACCGGATTACAAATAAAAAATGATATGCTTATGCTTGACACTGTGTATTTTTACAAGATGATATGGCGTAACTTCCCGAACGTTGCCCAGCCTAATCGGAATCGACGATTGACCTCTTTTTGGAAGTTAGACCTACCTAAATATATAAATATGATATTTATTACACGTAGGTAATCCGATATAGTGTGTATTATATTTCAGCCGATCCTCGTAAACGCAAAGAATGATTGATTATCATTCTAGTTAAAGAACTCAAAAGAACAACTTTGTTTAAAAACAAAAGATATTTTCTCCGTATTATAATATGTGCGCGTCCACTACGACACTTTGAATGTAAAACCAACATTTAAATTCGCAAACTAACATTTCTTTTTTGCTGAATTTGTTGGCTACCACGCGAACAAACCAGCTGATATAGGCCGAGATTTTTATTATATACCATTTTGCTTGTTGTGACTCTAGCCTTATTTTTAAAAGATGGTTATTAGTTAGTGGACTTAAAGCAAAGAGGACGAATTTATACAAAATAATAGTAGAAATAAGATAAGAACTACGATATCTACACAGATAAATAAGAATCATCTCTCTCGTACCCACCCGTTATGGTAAAGCATGTTATCCCAGCGAAACAATGTTGGTAAAAGAATTTCTGTGTTCACGAAATGACGTGTCCCTTGATCGTAACTCATCCCGGCTTCCTCATATTACTTTCATATGTTGCTCGGAGGTTTATACGCAACTTAACCGTATGTGCCAGACGACAAAAACCAAAAATGATGTGTCATCTTACGAACCAAACTTTGGAACAAATTCTATGCGAGCTTTGAGGAAACGTAACGCTTGTTCTGTTCTTGGTTGAAGGATCTTTCTCCTATCTCTGAATGAACGAAATTCAGAATACTTTGATGGAATCAGGATAGACATATCTAGATTTTTTTAGGCAATGTACGTAAACTTATATTAAGATTTTGTGTAAATAATAATACCATACATAATATGAAACTGAACGCATGTAGGTACTGAATTATTCTTGTTATAAATCAGGAGTAAAGCGAAAGAAAATACCTGCGGTTGTACCCCAAACCAACTTTATTCCTCGTCACATCATGAGGACAGTGTTTCGTTCCCCGCCTAGGCTATTTTTAATTAGCAGGAGCTTCTAACGGCGGAATGGATAACAACAAAATTAATATACCTACTAAAAGTATTTTCAATATTATTGGAGTTTTACAAATTGCTCCCCTCATCGAAAAATGGCATAAGCTGAATTACGTCAAACATGTTTATTGCTCCATTAGATACAGAAAAATATAACCCACAGTCTCTCCAATTCTTGTAACTCTATATACAAAATTAGTCGATAGAGTTACAAGAATCGGAGAGGATGTGGATTGCATTTTTTAAGTCTAATGGAGCAATAAACGTTTTTGACGTAACTCCACTTATGCCATTCTTCCATGAGGGATGCGAAATGTCAATTGCAACATACGACTTCAATATTTATCAATATATATTTTCAGAGTGTATTGATTGATTTTTCTTTTATTTGTAACATGCATAGCTTCTAATCAACAGTCGCAAAAATGTGTCCCACATATATAGATACATGTATATAGCTACAAGGAGCGATATAGAGTTGTTAAAACCACCAAACATTAATTATTTACTTTTTTCGAATTCAGGATTTCACAGGCCCTTACACGCTTTCGGAGTGGATAATGATATTTATAATTATTATTGTGACTAAATGGAAATTATATCGAAAATTCGAAATTTAATTACTTTTTTTTTAAGACAGAGAGTCTCCTCTTTATTCTATTTAGATGAATAAGAACAGCCGTACATAGCACAATTCACGGCCATCACAAGAGCAGTAAGGTACGTTCGTAACAAATAAATTTAACAAACAGTTTATACATCAACGTGTTGTCCTTAGCGAATGGCTCGCTGACAGCCTTGTTGCCGTTCCGTCAATGTGAATGTCAATATGCGGGGCGCGGTGCCGTATCTAAATCCAGGGAGGGGCGAAAAATAACCGTTCTCCAATTATTAATACAAAGATCGAACTCTTAGGAACAATCCTTCGATCCGGCCGGATTCGAACCGACGGCGACGTCTCCTAGCAAACCGTGCCAAACGCTTTGCCACCTAAGCCACGGAACGAACCAGCGGACCTCACGAATTTTTTAATGTACTTGTTGTTGAATCTTTGTATAACAAACTAGTGGTGTAATTTCACAAAAAATTATTAAATATCAATTCAATGAAAAATTAAGTAACCGTTCTGGTTACTTTTTTATTTTCTGCTTTGGTAAGAGGTCAGTTATCACCTGCATTTTTTTACAAGACAACATTAAAATTACTTTAAAATCTAACTTTGACTTACTAGGTCAGTAGTTTTGTCCTACAATGCAGTAAAACCATTTCCAGAAATCCGGAATTCGAAAAAGTAATTAATTAATATTTGGTGATTTTAATATATCTAATGTACATATACATGTGGAATACCTTTTTCCGACCATTACATAAAAATAAATACAGCGGTGTCGCATAAACCTATTAAAGATTTAATTAATTAGATAATAATTGTATTTAATTTTTTTTTTAAATTGATATTCAATTATTTTTTACGTGAATTTTTTTATGTGAAACTAGTGGAATTGTATTTTAGTATTATGGCCATTTATTAGTATTATAACGTGATTAAATTTCGGAAGGAACAATAAACTCGCGTCATATGTGACAATCACAAAATTAAATAAATAGCCAAAATGAGTAATGACAATAATAACAAATATACCTAATATAACTAATAACAAAAACATTATAAACTTATTTACAGCACTTTGATTATGTACATAAATTGAAAGTTATTGTAATTTAATATTTTAGCAATGGTTGTACACTGTGATGGTTGTTTAAATTGGATGTGGTCAGGTTTTGGGAAGAATTTTTAACTAAATTGAGATACGAATAGAAATAAGTTTTCTCATATAAACTGTGACACTCTCTAATTAAGAGTTGATTTTCCCAAAATTGTTTTCATTAAATAAAATTGTTGTCCAAATTTCCCATTTCCATCTTTAACTGTTTAGATTGTGTGTTGATCATTCAATCAGCCTTCATTGATATATATATTGTGTATTTGCTGCCAATAATGATCTATAGTTTCTGCTTTATTATGTTATCTCTCGCAAACTCGCAATGCGTAAACACAATCCACAATATTCCGGAATACGGGCTTTAACTTCTTTTATGTTAAATGAACGTAAGTGTAGTTATTGTAAATATTTACTGTCTAAATAATTCCAATTTCTGTTCTTCTGGGATATTCGGATATCAGTCTAAGAATTATAGAATTATTAATTCACATAAATATAGTCACTGACAAAAATGCGAGTCACTGCTTCCAGGAATTGCAGCTTATGTACGAATGGAAATTAGCTACTCTATTTTTTAATCCTACCGCCATACAGCAATAAAAAATAGCAAGTAACTTTAGTTAACTCCATCTGTTATCGTACATGTAAACTACGTGCAAGTAGTGTAGTCAGTGCGAGTACAACTGATATTCTTGCTTAGGTCAGCTTTGTTGAGATTAGCGACAAAGAAGTAAATTCATTTATCAACAGGTAGCGCTGTCTACGCATTGTCGAAGAAAAAGACAGCAACATAGCGATAAACGTTAAACCCATTAAGTGGAAGCAAGATAGACTATATAATGAACGAATGATACAATTTGCATTACGAAACGAAGGCGAAGGACGAAGGAAAGGAACGATCAGTACAGTACAGTATTTTTCGCCCTGAGTGAATCGAACTGTACGCAGAAATTATTGTTTTATTTTATTATGGCCTGTGATTCGTATGATGAAAATTGCGATGTATCCGCTATTTTCTTTGATTTAGACAACACTTTAATTCAAACAAGAAAAGGTGACAGCAGAGCCTGCAATAAGGTTTGTAACATTTTCATCACTTATTGACATTGCCACGGTCATGGGTATTCGGACCGAACTGCGCGCGCTGTCACCCTCCGCGGTTTTCTATTACGTCGTTGCGTTGATCGCGTTGATTTGCTTTTCTTGTGGAACACCTCAGCACCCTCCTTGTTGAACGTTCATCGTTCCAGCGTGTTTATAAATAGAATTTTCATAGTTGGTGAACGTGAGCTCGACGTCCAGATTTAGATATTTTGGAAGAGAACACGTGCTAATTATAAACGTGATGTAGATCGAGCGGCGTGGGCACGATTCAGCTCTTTGCTCTCAGTGGAGTGCGATCTGCAGCACCTCGTGTTCGCCCTCAAGTGCTTGTGAAAATGGGTGATATATCGGAGCCAATAAAGAAATGCGTTCTCATACTCAAATCGGCGCAAAGCGACACAGAGAAGTTCGCTGCGCTCTTTATGGTGACGAAACTTGTGAAAGGAAAGGATTGCAACTCCGCAGCTAAAAAAGCGCTGTTCGAAGCCATTGGCTTCAAGTTCTTGAAGAAGCTCCTAACAGGCAACAGTGTGCAAGATGATTGTCCGCCGTCTGTATACAAATCCGTCGCACTCTCTGTGCTCACGTGTTTCTGCAATGAACCCGAACTTGCTACTCATCCAGAAATGCTTGCTAACATACCAGTTTTCCTTGACATAGTACAGACATCAGATAATGATGATTATGATGATAACCTAATAATTATTAGTGAAGCTTACACTTGCCTGCAATGCATAGCTGAACATGAAGCTGGTCAAAAAGCCCTCATTGAAGTCGGTGCCATTAAGAAAATGTCAGAAATTTACTCTCACCAAAGCTTCCAAACAGATGAAGCTCTTAATATTCTTGTGAAACTGGTGAGTCGGTATGGCCCTGCGGCTTGGGGAAAGGACCCCAAACCATTCCATTCTTTGGTTAACAAAATAGCTTTGGACTTTGCTACTGATCAGTCAGACAGGAAATTTGAATTGGCAAATGTACTTAGTTCTCTTTTGTACAGCTGCAGCAAAACAATTGTAGGCCCCAGTGCAGCGGATGAAACATGGCCTCAGAGCATTTACAGAGCATTGCATGACATTCTCACCAGCAAAATTGGCAAAAACCAAAGAGATCCTGCTCTAAAATTGGCTGCTAATGTTGTTGATGTGCTTGGAGTTGAATGGTGTTTCAGTGATGAAGAGAATCCAAAAAAATGTTTCCTGTTGCTACTTCAACTTTGTGCCATTGAAGTAAGAATGCAACTTGAGGACAGAAGTTTCAAACAGGCCTTTGCAAACGCAGAACTGGTTACAGCTTGCTTTATCATTCTTGAACTGTGCATTAATTACATGGCTACAGATCAAGTAGATTTGGAACAAAAAGAAAAGCAATCAGTGTATACAAGTCTGAAAGGAGCTTTCAATGCAGTTGTCTCCCTCCTAACTAAAGTCTCTAATGATAAGAACAAAGATAAACTTCCAGATGAGGAAAAAGTTTTTGTTTGTGCTATGATCAGAGTATTGTCAGCATGGATAGCTCAAGAAACTACAGCAATGCGAGAGCAAATCTATGCTTTGCTCCCATTTATATTTACAATGGCAAATGAGTCCTTCCATGGTTACAGAGCAAGGAAATTAGCTGAGAAGAATAAATCTGAAGGAGAGCCTATGGTGTTACAGAATGAACTCATGGGTCACATTGATGTGCTCCGTTTGATGTTACCAGCTTTGTGCCACTTAGTTGTTGAGGATAAAGCCAGAGATGTAGTATTAAATTTGAAACAAGAAGATATCTTATATGAAGCTATGAACTTCCACTGGTCAATTGTTCACTACAAAAAGCCTATTGTGCCAAAATCAGAAAGAGGAAAAGTCAAAACTCAACCAGAACCAGAAATGGATCCTCAGGTTCTAGAAGATATGAAAGATTCTAGGGCTGCTATGGTCAGTCTTTGCAATATTTTCATGAACCTCACTGTATTAGCTCCAAAAGTTGTAGAAAATAGCCTCTTGTTTAATACTTTAATGAAATTTGTATTCAATAACTTGCCTGAACTCAAGGATATACCTGAAAACCTTGTACTTCATGGACATTTGGCAGTTCTAGGTCTGCTCTTACTTAAGCAACAAGCAAACAAAGTCAAAAAGAATGACTTCTCAATATGCAGATATATAACATCAACAATTCGATTCCTCTGGGATGCTTATAACATCGATGAATCAAATGATCCTACAGCCCTTGTAGTGTCAATGGGTTACAAAGAACATTGGAATGAAATTGCTGACTTATGGTTCTTAGGCATGCAGACAATGAGTGGAGTTCTGACCCTAGTACCATGGATTTCAGAGTTTGCCATTGAAAGTGGCTGGGCTGAGGGAATTGTGGAAATGCTTGCCAAAGTAAAAGTGGGAAGTCTTCCTCCCAATGTTAAATCTGCTTTTGAGGACTTCTTGTGCAGATTAGTCGACTCTAATGCAAGTGTTATCCCAGTACTTAAAAAAGGTGGTGCACTGAAAATGTGCAGAAGCCACCGATTTATGGATTTAGGGAAAAAATTGTTTGGAGACTAAGTGTATTTGACAATGTTTTAATGAATGTTGTATTTTTTAATTTTGTGAAATTATGTCATAATCTACATTTAACACAAATTGTCAAAGTACTTAATTACCACACCTTACAATGCAAGATAATAAATTATCATATTTACCTACAGAAGTGTGTTCCTAATACTATAATACATGTGAAACAAATTCTATTTTGATGTTTTAAAAAAATCTCATTTTGTCAATAAAAACATAAGTATATATATATATAGAATTTTATTGGCTTAATTTATTTAAATTGATGTACGTCTAATAGTTTGGTAGTATGTATATAATTTCGCGTATCAGGTTACATCCTCGAAACTGTGCCAAACTGCAGGTGAGTGAACGACGCTGACTGCGGGCCGTTGAACCCTGCTATTCCTGGAACAGAGATACTGAATCACAATAAAACTACTCTCCGAAACATTTCCACACACACACATATATATATATATATAAATATCAATACATCACAGACATCTAGAAGAATTAGACAAGATTCTTTGAATTTTTCCCAGGTCATTAACAGAAACTACTTAAATATTCCCCGAAAAGCGTAATAAGTTATTATTTATTGTTGTATATGCTATTGGCTATTACTAATAACATAACTAATTAGTAACATTTTACTTATCGTGTTAACAAAAACTTGACTCATTCATTCCATCTACTTAAGCATTACGAAAATTTGATTTCTATTATGTAGATATTTAAATGCCCATTGGTAAAATGCACATACGGGTCACGTAACTTGTATCTTACTATTAAAATAGTTGTGAACCATGACGTCAGTTGTTTATTGACGTGTTGTACTTATTTCAGCTTGTGGAGATTTTGCAACAAGAGTACGGGTTACCCCAAGATGTGGCTGTGGGAAGCGCGTCAAATTTCCTGCGGGCCTTCAGGGCAAGGCCGGATGATGACTCTTACGCCCTGGACGAATGGCAAACGCATCTTTGGCGCAATTGCCTACCAAAAAACTATAGACACATCGCCAGTTAGTATACAAAATTCTTAAAGAAGCGTTTTATGATTTTTGACGACCTTAGTGGCCCAACGGTTCGTATTGTGGACGCTTGATGCGGAGGTCCCGGTTTCGATTCCTGGTAGAATCAATTTGGTAAATGAACTTTTTTCAATTGGTTCTGGTCTTGGTGTTCTGGGTACCCCGGAGTGAATTCCGTTGCTCTTTCACTCGTAGTACAGGGAATTCCCTAGTTTGAGACCAGGCGATAGATGTAGTTCTTTAGCACATTATGTTAATTAGTTGCATAAGTTAAAAGTATATTTTAACCATATTGATAAAATATACTGAGATTCACATTTATTTTCTCTAACCCCGTTTAATTGCATCGTCTTATATACAAATTGCATCATCATCATCATCAACATGATTTGCAGAAATTTTTCACGTTGTCCCAATAGAAGGCACACAAATGTTATGGGTAAATTTCCATGTTATTAAGCGACATTTATACTTCGGGCTAGTCATTTCAACAACGAATGATCGCCTTGGCTCTGCGCCCAGAATGTCACAGAGTACATCGGCAATAATCATCGTATAATGGCTGCGCGTTGTAACAAAGACTCTAGACGTAAACAACGCCATTTTGATTTATTTGACGTCAACAAATACTTATTTGCTTTATAAAAATATACCATCGTTTTCAATGATATCCCTTCTCTACCTTCTTACGCAACGGTCATGGAATAATCCTCAATCTAGTTGGGTAGGTACCTCCAATTTCACAGCGCTATATTTTCATCGTTTACGTAAACAGTTCCCACATTTAAGAGCGTGTAGGCGTCCGCGTTTCCAAACAACTTGTATATAATAATATACAACATATTTTTCTCAAATTAAAGACATCTAGCGTATGTGAAAGGGAGGTGACGAATCGCTAACATTAGTTTAATTTAATATTGCAGAGATATTGTAAAAAAACATCACGATGGATGACGATGCCTTCACTATGAAATTGTATATATACAACGTTATTTGTAAACGTACTAATAAAGCTAGCTTTATAGCTACAACAAACATTATTCTTGCTTTCACATGCTGGCTGTTAAATTTACTGTCTTGTTACAGAAAATATTTCGGCCGAATGGATAAAGTTAAGATTTCAGTACTTGGCTCTAATGCCTGATGTCATACATCTGTTAGAAACATTGCGGTATGTTGAATATAAAATTTGATATTTTGTTTATGTTATGCAGAAATATTTATGAATACGACCTGACTCATAAAACTGGTATCTCATTGTGTCTATTCACTTAATATTTCTTCAAAATATAAAAATATACACATATGTTACACATGTCCATTTAAAAGACAGTTTCTCTGTTATTTATACTACTTAATAATAAAAAATGTATATAAATATATGTGTTATATTACAATTTTAGCTTTTTACAATAATGCAACAAAGAAATTGTCTAGGCAGATAAAAAATCATTTTTGGAAAGTTCATAGACTTATAAATAATGCTCCTTGCAATGTTGTGGGTGGTCTCTGAACATTTCAAAACAGCCATATTAGTGCATGGTGTTATGTGGTAAACTAAATTGTTTTCCTCATTAATGAATCATCATTCTTGTGATAATTTCGTTTAACATCGCACATTCATTAGTGATTTATAATCTTTAATTTCAGTCATTGGATGCATGCCTGCCACATAACATTATGATTGTCAGTTTAATACTGATTTTTAGAAAATGTCATGAGAAAGACAGATCCAAAGTGTTGTGAAGGCATCATATTCTTTAGGCAAAGTTTGCCTTATGTAAGTTGATGTTGTAAAGAGTATGCCTTCGCTACTGTGTTGGGCTGGCTTGACGTGCATGTTGCTAATAAATGACTTGTTTTTCAACAGTTCAGTTGTTGCTCAACGAGTGACTAAACTCGGGGCGCCGCGTGCGCAACACTTAGGTTTGAATTGTATTTGTAAAATATGTGAGGAAGTACGTCAGACAGAAGGTAATACTGTCACCTCAGAAACTTAATTTGAAACATTGGAAATAGTTTTGACTCATCTTAGTTTTACTTACAATTCAAGTTCAGACTTTACTTACCTGTACCTAATTGGATTCTGGAAAAAACATCTCCATTGTTTCTACTAATCTCTCAATTAATTTAGTGCCATTTTGACATGAAAGCTTTTAAAATTGTAGAACACTGCAACATTACACAGAACATCAATACCACATTCATACACGGTTATTTCTTTAGAACATAAGCATTATATAGAATACAAGATTGATCAAAAAGTCAAAATGGCACTAACCTAGCTAATAAGTGGCATTCATATATGATTTATATACTCAATATAAATAATATGTGAAATAATATAGTCATGTATCATTTCAGCTCATAAAATGTTCTTGCACGAAAGAGAATGTTAATTAACGTGATGTGTAGAACAGTTCGAGGAATATTCCTCCTTGTGCAAGACCATTTGGCTCGTGTTATCATGTGCTGAGTTTCAGCATGGTCTGGAGCAGGAAATAACGAAAGGCTGGTCGATGAATGTGGTACAGGGAGGATTACCTTCTCGGTCTGATCACGAACGGGCCGTCGCGCGCTCAATGGCAGAAGATTGAACGGCTGAACCTCCGCAAGTACTTCGACTGCGTGCTGGTGTCAGGGGACCTGCCCTGGGAGAAGCCAGACCAGCACATCTTTCTCGAAGCCTGCAAGCTGCTCAACGTCGAGCCACGCAATTGCATTATGGTTGGAGATAAACTGGAAACTGATATAAAGGTGTGCCACAAGAACATATTACATATTTCAGTTAATTTTCTGTCGGTCTGTAACTAGTACCAGTAGTTAGATTTTTATAACATACTAAGATAACCTAGTCATTCTAGCAATTACATCAAATTTCAGGGAGGAAAAGAAGCTGAGCTAGGAGGAACGGTGTGGATACCGCTGCAGAAAGACGATGAGTCTTCAGACCTGCCGGATTTCACAATCGACAAAGTAACAGAATTGCCAGAGGTATTGCCAAATTCGCCTAAACTTAGGCGCTCGAAACAAAACATAGATATCTGTTGATGACATCATACGCCTATAATTCATTACGATTGACTTATATGCTCTTAGGAGTGTCCAGTCCGAAATTTATCATGAGCTCTTTCTCCTTAACTTGGCGAAATAGTGGAGTCTGTAACGCACAAAAATCGATATTAATCAACTTAGTACATATTTCGAAAAAAAAAATTTTGTTGCCTATTTCAAAATAGCTGGCATACGTTGCCGTCCACAGGAGCAAAATTCCTTTTATAAGCTATAATAATGTTTTTTTTTTCACTCACAAGAGCAACTTAATATATGGAGCGGAATTCCGCATTTTACACATTTGAAAGAGTAAAAGTATCGACATTGCACAAAAACCAAGTGCTATATGTAGATTGTATGTACAAAATAGTAATGCACATAAATGAGAACTATTTTATGGGTATAGGTGTGAAGTTGGTGTTAGGTTTCTTTACATTGAAGTTGTGTGATCTTTGTTAATAGTATTCGAAATACAATTATTTTTATTAATAAGGAATATTTTGGGTATCAATTATGTTGCGGACTTTTATAAGTCGAAACTTCACGTACAGGTCTACAGACATCTACATGTTTAATCCTTTATTTGTGATATGGTAACCCTTTATTCGTATGACGTATCGTCAAGCTGACATTTTTACTGACATAATAATTGTGTTGTTCTCTTTCAATTATTAGTGTGAAAGGGACGGCCATATTCTTAGATCTATCAGTATTCGTGAGAGGAAGATCTGAAATCGGAATCGATCCGATCAGGTAGTCTCGAAATGAAATGGGTTTCTGAGCTATATCTTTCTAATTTGTAAGTTAAATCAACTATTGTTCCGATTAGAAATGTCAAAGTTTCCGATCGGCCAGTTGTGAATCGCAATTATGCGTCTCGCCTCGAAAAGACGCAGTTTTCGATCGGGAGAGGCAATCAAAATCAAGCTGCTGGTTCCGTATTTGACCTATGACGTTGGTTCGGGTTATAAACGTACCAATTAGACTCATAGTTACATCATTAGTTTGTAAGATCGTCCATTTCTCAGTTAGTTACCACGATGTATTCCTCACATAAATAGAATATTCCTAAGTACACATCTAAATGTTGTTGAATCTTTATTTTTTGATACTTTTCATAAATATTTTTTTAAAGAAGTTGCCAAAAATATAGAATATATTTTCTGATCCTTGTAGGGTTATATCAAATTGTTCGACAAATTGTTGCATTTTGCCACTATCAAAAATAAAGTGCCCATTTTTTAATGAGAAGGCTCTTTTTACGCAGCGTAAAGTGCAAAAGCATTCCAAAAAAGGCGCTTCTTGATTTGTCACGCAAATGGAGTCGCGTGGTAGTATTACGAATACGAAAGACTACGGCACGATTACGTCGCGCTAGTGCCATTCTGCTTGGTGCGTAATATTAAAGCGACACGCGTTGCTGGAAATGCTAACCTCAATTAAATTGACACCAGCAATTAACACTGTGCTAACTTCGAAGTTTGACAAGTTTGCGTTTGTAATGCCAAAATATTAAGCTAATTTAAATTAAATTCTAAATTAAGGAAATAACACAAAACATAATAATCATATATTTTATAATACATGGTTGGATACCTTGTAGTAAAAAAACATTAACATGTTTGAAAATTACAAAGTGATCGCAATTTATTTTAGGTCAGCGTAGTGTACATAATATTTGCTGGTGTTGAAATATTCTGTAGCACTGCGAGTCAGTGGGTTTTAACCCTTTGTAAATATTTTGAGCAATTTTCTTAGTGGAGTCATATTTATTTTTCTATTTCATAGTCTAAGATATTAGATTTAAACTTTGGTTGTTACACAGAAGTCATTGTATGACTAGACTGTATTTTGTGATATCTACTGTTAAGTAGTTAAGAATTTTTATTTACTTTTTAAAATTGCCGTTTCCTTTCATATTTCTTCAACTACCACTTTAAGATGATCTCTGAGGACCTCTGCTGCGTTTAGGTTCATATAAAGTCAGAAATAATTATGAAAAAATATCGCATTTGTAGTGGCTTCTATTGACAATAATCAGAAACAAGTAAAAAGATTGCACGTCAATGTCTAATGACGGGGTTAAAATATTTTGTTCAAAAAATAACACACAGTGTTCACATTTACAAATCAAAAGAGCTTTCTTATAATCTAAGAGATCACCATAATAGTGATTGTAGTCTAAGTGTAAGATTATAATTTTAATTGCGTTGTCAGTGTTGTTTCAGTTTTTTGTTATATTATTGTTTAGGCTGAAGATTGAAGTTGTATAGTCCAAAGCACATCAAACTTGACACTTTGGAATGTTGTTTATAAGTTGAATTTATATCTTAAGTGTCATGCTTGACATGCTCTTGCCCCTGTACATGTTAGTCATGAAAACTTAGGATAGGACTGGGTATAAGTAAATACACACACCAAAACACAAAAGTTAACATCTGCATTAAGAAAAAAATTGGTGAACTAGCGCAAGATCCAGCAGTAAGTGAAGTCGGGCTGTAGATAACAAAAAAAAATGACAGTAGATAGAGGGGTAGAATGAATAATCGTTATTCGAGATGCGTACTTATTTGTTTTACGTTGTATATAATAGAATACTGTCCCAAGAAAACACTACACAGTTGTTGTTACTTACCCTTAAATACTTTAAAGAAGCTAGAAACTTGTCTAATTCAAATTATTCCTTGGATCAAACTAAACACTGAAGAATAGTTTCAAAGCTAAAGATCTACTAAACGTGATAGATTAATCTCAAAGTTATCTATTTATTAAACTTTAAGAGAATATTAAAATGTATTTTTGTATAATGTCTTCAAATTCCAGTTTAATTCGTTTATTTTGTTCTGGATGTTCATTAAATATAATATTATGTCAAACATGGTTTCTTTTTATAGTAAAACACCTAAGTCTAATGCTTAATGCTATATTAAAATTTTCAATACAATAACTACTATTAAAGGACCTAAGCAGTTCTCAACATTTTTGCTTCCCTTTTTTCTTGTAATAATTTTTTCTGTTCTTCTACAATCCTCTTTCTTTCTTCTAGGAATTCACCATAGTCCTGAAATAAAAAGGAAATAAATATCTTTAGTACCAGGTGAACCGAAATTCATAGATAATGAATTTAAGAATTAGTGCCATCACTAATTCTTAAATTAATAAATTAATTCTTAAATTCTTAAATTAATTCTATTATTTTATGAATAAATAATATTGGTTACCTTTGTTTCAAAAGTTTCATGAGTAAAAGAACTATTTGTTGTGAATTCACAAGAAACAATGTTAGCATTGATGTCATAGACACTCTGTAGTATTTGAAAATAAAATGGAGTTTTACGTGCTTACCTTAGGGTCTAGTTCTCTAACAACTTCAATGCCACAAGTCCTAGCAGTGGCTATCAACATTGTGCAGATTTCCTTGAGCGACTTCCACTCTAGTGGAGGATCTTGCTGCTTTATTAATGCTATTTCATATAAATGCTTCAATGTTATTTTACCACAGATTTCTTTAACTGGAAAACAAAATGTCCATCCACTTAAAAATATTACAATGACATTATGGTAATAGCACACCCATCTCCATCGTCAATGGAAGCTCAAGTTCAAGAATATTTTAAATTTATTCTATTTGTTAGTAGAGTCATGGTTTGTATAAAATTAATTTAAGAAGTAGAGTTATTAATTCATAGTTTAAATATGCTAGTAGACTTAACTTTATGTTAGTAATAACAACAATAATTACAAGGCCATATGCCACAATGATGATCCAACATGCAGGTAGAGAGCTTCACATTATCAAAAAAAATATCTTCTTGAGGCTCAATTTATGAAACGAATTTTTGTAGTGTACATAGCATAATGAACTTACGAGCCAAAATCTTCCGCAGAATTCTTGCTCATGCTCAAGAATGCTCACTCATTTAGTGACACACAGACAATAATGTGATGACATTAGGCCAGTACATGGTTCTTCTGGTCTATATGCCAGACATGCCTCCATTTTTTTGTACCCATCTTCCTTTATTAATTATTCTCATTTTCACCTAATAGTAAATAAAGATGCGAATGAGAATGGTACTCAATGTCTTGAGTCTAGAAGATACCTGTAAGTCTCCAGATGGCATCACTGGAGAAATTTTTCCATCTCTTGAAATCTTCCAAGTATTGCATATAAACTTTAATAGATAACTTACCGGGTTCCATAGCACCCCGATTGACACCAGCAGCCTGCTTCAAGAAGTATGACGCAGGGGGCTGGTGGATTATGAGCTGATATGACCGATCTGCATTCACCTTTACTCTTGTTGGTAAAGGTATTCCAGGTTTTATGTTAGCTGTTCGCTCATTAAAGTCTTTGCAGAAAGCTGCGATGTTGATGTTGCGCTGTAAAAGTATAATAAACAAATCTGAAGTCGCATAGAAAATATAAACCAACCTTAAAATTGTATTTTTAGGTTAGTCAATTTAACTGTATTGAAGGCACTTACCTGACCTAGCATAGGACCTAAAGGTGGCCCTGCAGCTGCCATACCGGCAGGAATATTGGTTCTTAACTTTGAAGAATGGTCTATCTTATCAGCCACTTTCTTCATAGATTTTAGTCTCGCTACGGATTTGGACATTTTGCCATAAATTACAACTACTACAAACAGCAGGAATATTATATGAACAAACGAAAAATCTGTTGCTATTTGCGTAGTATTATATTTTTAGTTAATAGTCATTACATTTTCAAAACCGCGCAACAACCCCAAATAACTTAGATTGATTGACAGTGGAGTGGATTGACATTTTTTTTTAAATTTATTAAGGCTTTGGCAAAGCCACCTGCCTAAACATGATATGGCCGCTACAAAGAGGATAGGCAATTTGAGGTGGCGTGCTTGGATTGACTCGGAATTCCTTAAAAAGGGGCCGCTACGGGTATTCTGGTTCGAGATTCGTATAATTTCGCGTTTTAATCTGCGATTAAGGCACAATAGCACTATCCTATTCCACTTTAAACTAGATTTCACAAAATAATTGAAAGTCAAAATAAAAACGTAACTTTTCCCTCCAAAATCCCTGGATTGACATTATTCTTTTCTTGATAAATAGCGTTTTCACCTCACGATAAAAGTGCATCATTCGCTCTGGACCTTTTGGAGGGAAAAGTGTCGTTTTTATTTTGTCTTTCAATTATTTTGTGAAATCTAGTTTAAAGTGGAATAGGATAGTGCTATTGTGCCTTAATCGAAGATTAAAACGCGAAATTATACGAATCTCGAAATAAAATACCCGTATCGGCCCGTTTTAAGGAATACCGAGTCAATCTATTTAACTGCCTCCGTGGCCGAACGGTTACCATGCCGGACTGCCACGCAGAGGTCCCAGGTTCGATTCCCGGGCCGGTACGGTTACGTTATTATTATTATTTTCGTATTTATTTTAAACTCTCGCCTCTCCCAAGGCCTAAAAAATTAATTTTGAATTTATTATTATTATTATTATTAATCCAAGCACGCCGCCTCAAATTGCCTATCCTCTTTGTGGCGGCCATATTTACAGAAATATATTTAAACTTCATGTTTAGGCTGATGGCTTTGCCGAAGCCTTAATAAATTAAAAAAAAAAAGTGCATCATAGTGCTGCTCCGTTTAGTACGCTTCGAATAAAGCGATTGAAATGTGTAGATTTTTCATCGATATAATGGTATCAACTTTTTAATCTGGGTAAACGTCAATGGAGATGAGCTGTCATTATTTCCAGTGTGGTCTTCGTACTTTTGGGATTTAACGAAGACAGTAAAAATATCGCAATTAGTCTAACATTAGCATAAATTACGTTTTTGTTCTCTGTATCATTATTAAAAGATATTTTGTATCTTATGAATAGTAATAATATTCACACCGAATGTGCATTCCTCTCGTAAATATGGTGCGAAGTTGTAAATAAATAAGTACAAGTGGTCAATATGTGGTCCTTTTTTTCGCGTGATCCTACCAAAGACTTCCCTTATGAGGTGGGAGAGCCTGTGCGAGGGTTGGAGGATAGGAGTGTGTGGACTTTACACAAGGGCAAAAAAAGAGGTACCCAGGATGAGGTATCGATATTTTTGTTTGATGTTCAGAAAAATTCTGAGACTCTCTTCGACATTGCAAAAGCCTCGTTGAAAAAGCTGAAGACAATGAGACACCCTAGCCTTTTACATTACTTAGATAGTTGTGAAACTGAGAAATTTTTGTATGTAGCCACAGAGTATGTGGAACCTTTAACTACCCATATAGAAGATATGAAAATGGAGGGCCAACAGCGGGATCTGTTCCTGGCCTGGGGAATTTTCCAAATTACTGTAAGTAATCTATTAGATAATTTGTATCTGTGATCAATTGATCATTCATTCATCGTTCATTACTTTGTATGAATTTAGCCAAAAATAATTTGGTGAAAATGAAAACAATAATCTTATTGCTTTTCTAATTTCTTTATCTTTATAATAACTTTATACCTAAAACAAAACATGTAGTTTTGTAAAATTATATGTACCTTATTGAAATTACACATCATTAAGCAATTTAATAATCTGTTGAGTGCCTTAGGATTGGACAGCTTTGAATTCCATTTTTCCATATTAGTCCATATTATTGAAATGTTTCAGAGAGCACTATCATTCCTAAACAATGATGGTAACATGAAACATAACAATGTCTGTCTCTACTCTGTGTTTGTAACTCTCGCTGGTGAGTGGAAACTTGGAGGTTTTGAGTTTCTGACTTCCCATGGCCAAGAGGGTTCAAATCCAATACCTATTAAGATTCTTCCTGCACTTGAAATCTATGATCCACCTGAGAAAAAGGATAGTAGCAAATTGAAGTCTATTACTAAGTGGTAAGTCTCTATTTTCTATACAAATGCATATTCTTGTAAAGATCCTGAAGTAAATAAATATTTTACATTAGTTTTAGAGTAGTTGCATGGGGTTATAAAACTACCATATCTTAGTATGAAAGGCTTAGATAAATCAAGTATAAAATAAAAAATAATTTGCAATTGATTTGTTTTTGGTAACAGTGAACTATTTATTATTAGAACAGAAGATGTATAAGAAACTGTAGGATGATATTATTATCCTTGGAATATAAGGAATCAAATCAAACATAATTGGTATTTTAATGCTAAGTGTTTTAAGTATACATTACACATTCATAATGAAAATGATGTATAGAAAATAAATATCATTATATATTTTAGATTATTATCACTTTTATTTTATATTTTATAAAACTATTACAAGAACATATCTCCCACAGCTCAACAGATATGTGGGGCTTAGGTTGTCTGATGTGGGAGGCCTTCAATGGCCCTTTGAAAAACCAGCCAGCACTCAAGACTGTGGACAACATCCCAAAGCAACTTTGTACTCTATATTGTGAACTTGTTAGTGCCAATCCTGCATCAAGGCCAAACCCAGCTGATATTATTACTAGGTAATTATTGGCACCTAATTGACAACTTGGGAATATATTGTATTGTATTTGGCACCCTCTTTCACTTTTGACTTATGGCATTTAAGCATCCAAAATGCATGTTGTTAATATAATTAATTTGATAAATTTTCAAACAGCAATTTAATAAGGTTTATATTGTGTTCTTTAGCATTATTTTTAACATCTTTTTTTTCATGAGAGACATGACTTTACCATATTTGTAAAAAAATTATTAGCAACAAATAATTTTCAGGTGTCGCAAAATTGGTAGTTATTTCAAAAATGATCTCATAGATACCATGCTGTTTCTGGAAGAAATTCAGATTAAAGATAAAGTGGAAAAGGGGAAGTTTTTCTCCACTCTTAGCAATCACTTGGATAACTTCCCTGAGGCTGTGTGTGTTCATAAAATTCTACCACAATTGATGACTGCTTTTCATTATGGAGACGCTGGATCAGCAGTATTGGCGCCAATGTTTAAGGTACATTGTTTACCATACAACTAACTGTAATGTAAAAGCAAACGTTTGTTTATGAGTTTATTAAGATAATCAGCTTTAGTAGTTAACTGTCTCGTTTTCGCTGGAAGAAATTACTAGTTACCAGTGAGAAATTACTAATTTCTTAATTATTATATCCCATTATTTTATAATTGTTGCTAGTGGTTACAGTTTTCTTAATTAGAAATGTATTTTTCAGCTGGGTAAGCTCTTGGACGAGGCCGATTATCAAAAGCAGATAGTTCCATGTGTGGTGAAACTCTTCGCATCTAACGACCGCACTACGCGCTCGCGATTGTTGCAGCAGCTAGACCAATTCATCATGCATCTGCAGAATGCCACTGTAAGTTACTTGTGTAAAAGTTTTATATAAAGTATATCTGACTGTTAAAACAGGATGAACAAGCTTACATAGGAGCCTCTTGTTCCTAACCTTGAAGATATCCATCCAAGCTGCATGATCCATTATCTGTGAGCAGTGTTGGGCGTTAATCAATTAAATTTCAATCAGAAATTCAATCAAACTAAAAAATCAATTCAATTGAAATCAATTGCAATAAAAATCAATTGCAACGTCGCAATTAATTGGATTTGATTTCAATTGAATTGATTTTAACTGCAATTAAATTAATTGCAATTAATTTTTTTAATTGTTCTAAGAAACAATTGAAACTAACAATTAAAACCGAAACTACTGAATAAAAGTGTCATTACATATGGCACTCATTTCTAAATCCAAGATGGCGTGCACGATTTTAAGTGAGTGATGGGGTGGGTAAAGGGTGAGTGAGGATTTGGGTTAGGGGTGACCCACCCCCTAACCTACCACCTCACCCACCCTCTCAAAACCCCCTCACCCACCCACTCATCTACCCAATCCCCACTCACCCACCCACTCACTCACTCACCCACCCACTCACTCACCCACTCACCCACCCATATGCCATATGATGCAGACAAAACATGAGAAGTAAAGTAGGGGTGGTACATGTATTTTAATAAATAAAAAACTGAATTATCAAAAATAAAAGGTCTAAGAAATTATGCTCAGGACATAATATTCGAATGCTGTGGTGTTAAGCTACTATTCTGAAAAGTATAAAAAATAAATTAAGCTATTTTAATTCTAATGACTACTGTGTCATATTTATAGGTGACTCAGATTTCAAAGAAACTAACGATTATTATAAATTAGTAGTAAATATCCGAAACACATTACAAGAGGTACAACACACAAATATAATATTATGTCTGCCCACCTATAAATCTGGTAGTTATGCAAACTTATATAATAAACGAGTAGAAACATTCAACAATCTTTTGTATCAAGACAATAAGTACTATGAATATGTATATTTATTAGATAGTAACAAAAAATTAGAATACTATACAAAGATGTATACCACAAAAGGTTTCGTAAGTAATTTTGGTTTTAAAATTATTATTGAAAATTTGAATGAATTAATACAGGAAATCACGCATTATTATTATTTATACAATCTGGAAAACACTTTATCTAACGAGCCTAATACTACGGTTCCACAAAGCACACATTTGTCTTTTTCATGCCTAAATAACACTTTTTTTCGTTAAAAATACAAAAAACAATTACATAAAATTAATGCACCAAAACATAGCTGGGTACGTCTCTAAAAAATCGTTACTGGATGTTGCAATTTCTGAATTACATTCAAATCAAAAAGGTCCAGACATTATTTGTCTATCAGAAACAATGATTAAATTTGGTAATGAAAATCGTATAATTGTAACTGGTTATGATTTAGCAACGTCTTACTGCAGGCATAATTTGAAAAGTAGAGGTGGTACATGTATTCTAATAAACAAAATTATTAAATATGAAAAAATAGAAGACCTAAAAAGCTATGCTCAGGACACAGCATTTGAATGTTGTGGTGTTAGGCTATTATCACACAATGTTTGTATAATATGTGTATATAGAACTCCGAGTTCAAATATAAACATTTTCTTTTCAAAGTTAGATGAAGTACTACACAAATATACAAAGCAATCAAAAACTAAAATTATTATAACTGGTGACCTTAATATTAATACTTTAGAGACAAAATTATCTAAAAACGTTAGAATCTTCTTGGACATACTTAAAAATTATAATTTGACATTGCACGTTACTGAACCGACTAGACTTCACACATGTATTGACCATTTAATCAGTAATATTGACGACGCTACTGCGGAATTAGATCATCTACATTTATCAGATCACAATACGGCTCAAATGTTGTACATACCGGTGAATAAAAAAAATAGAGCAACCCATCGAATACTTTTTAAGGATCAGGGACTATTGTAGCGAAAATTTGAATAGGTTTCGGAATTGCTTAAGAGAACTTTCATTTTTAGAGGTATTGAAAGAACGCGACTTAAATAAGTCTATGCATAACTTTCATGAAACCCTAACCTTTTTATATAACCTAAATTTTCCCTTTAAATCTATTAAAATATCAAACAGATATAGAAAACCTAAATGGATTACCAAAGGTATCAAGCAAAGTTGTAAGACTAAGAGAATACTGCGTTACCTTTACTACGCCAAAAAATCAAAATTAAAAAAACAACAATATAGATCATATGCCAAAATACTACGCCAGTGTCTAAAATTAGCTCAAAAGCTGCACAATGATAAACTTCTAAATAACGCAAAAAACAAAGCAACAATTTCATGGAAAATAGTAAAAAAAGAAGTTAATAATCTTAATAATGAACAATTTATAAAAGAAATTATAATCAACAATAATTCAGTAACTAGTCCAAACTCTATTGCTAATGAATTTAATAATTATTTAATAGACTTAACAAACTCAAATATAAAAGTAACGAAGAACACAAACAAAACGCAATTGACAAATAGTATTTATTTACAACCTGTGCAGCCAAAAGAAATACATAATATAATAAAATCATTACGAAACACAAATTCAACAGGATATGATGAAATATCTACTAGAGTCATCAAATATTGTGCTGATGAACTAATTAAGCCACTAACTTATTTAGTAAATCTATCTTTTGAAAACGGCATTTTTCCTGAATTGCTAAAAATATCAATTGTTAAACCCCTACACAAAAAAGGTACGAAAACTGATATGGCTAATTACCGTCCTATCACATTGATCCCAGTGCTTTCCAAGGTTTTCGAGAAATCAATGAAAAAAAGGCTGGTCGACTTTACTACTAAATTTAACATAATAAAGCCAGAACAATTTGGGTTCCAAGAAAATAAATCTACTTTATTGGCAATATTCCATTTAGTACAAGAAGTAGTAGAAAATATAAATAAAGGAACACCAACATGTAGTATATTCTTTGACATGACCCGCGCTTTTGATTTCGTTTCTCATGATTTGCTTCTCCAAAAGCTAGAAAATCTTGGGATTAGAGGGTTAGCACTTGACTGGTTAACCTCTTATTTACGTAACAGGAGACAAGCGGTAGAAATTAAATGTGTAAACAAAAATGTGGTGGTGTCTAATAAATCACTTTATCGGGTTAATGCATGCGGCGTGCCTCAAGGTAGCACGCTTGGTCCAGTACTATTTTTGCTCTACATTAATGATTTACCTGATGTGACACAACATAGATGCGTATTATTTGCAGATGACATGGCTATAACTATTCCGTATAAAGACAATGTATCAAATTACGAATCTGATATAAATAACACTATAGCATCAGTGGCTAATTGGCTCGACAGCAATAATTTGACACTTAATTTTAATAAAACTAATTTTATTCAATTTGGAACTATTAGACACAATAAATTAAAACTGAATATTCAATACAACGAACATATTATACAGGAAGTACAAGAAGCAAAATTTTTAGGTGTAACTATTGATGATAAGTTTGAGTGGAAACTTCACATCCAAACCGTACTGAATCGGCTACAGCGTTATGTTTATGTTTTAAGAAGGTTGCGTGATACATGCGCTATGTCGACAACTTTAGCAGCCTACCATGGTTACGTAGCATCCCTACTTAGATATGGACTTGTTGTTTGGGGAAATTCTACAGATATAAGTAAATTATTTATAGCACAAAAAAAATGCATACGGGCAATGTGTTGCTTAGGACCTAGAGAATCATGTAGTCCGCTATTTAAGTCTCTTAACATATTACCGCTTCCTTGTAGGTACATCTTTGAGGTATCTAATTTTGTAAAAAATAATAAGAAACTTTTTAAAAAAACACGGGACGTGCACAATCGCAATGTAAGATGCCCCGACAGATTAGTTTATAATAGTTATACCAAATTAAGTTTCTACCAGAAACAATGCGGAGCCATGTGTGTGAGGATATTTAATGCATTGCCTTATGATATCAAAATGTCAAATAGTAGTGCTCTATTTAAGCGTAAGCTGATGTCATGGCTACGAGCCAATAATTTTTATTCCATTAAAGACTTTTTTACACAGACATTTCATAGAATTTGATAACTGTTTTAAAAAAAAAATTACATTATGCTATTTATATTATAAAAAAAAAAATTATATAATGTACATATTGATAATTTTATTGTATTGACTGTACGTCCTAAGTAGTTGACATTGATAATTATGTGATATAATTAATTATTCAATTTTAAATTCTATTGACATTTTGAATTCTATAGTATTTTAATTGAGCTTACTGACTAATTAGTTATGAAACATTGTACACCCGACATGGGTATGAACTGTTGCACCCAAATTACATGTATCATCTTGTTTACCAGTTCAAACAATAAACGATTCTGATTCTGATTCTGATTCTGATATCACACAATATTTGCATGTTTATAGATCGCCCAAATCAAATATAAACATTTTCTTGTCAAAGCTAGATGAAGTACTACACAAATACACAAAACAATCAAAAACTAAAGTTATTTTAGCTAGTGACCTCAATATCAACACTTTAGAGGCAAAATTATCAAAAAATTTTCCCATTAAAATTATCAAAAATCAAACAGATATAAAAATCCAAAATGTATCACTAAAGGTATCAGGCAAAGATGTAAGACTAAGAGGTTACTGCGTTTCCAATACTAAAACAAAAAAAAAACTAAAAAACAACAATACAGGTCATACTCTAAAATACTACGCAAATGTCTAAACTTAGCTCAAAAGTTACACAATGACAAACTTATAAAAAACGCAAAAAACAAAGCAAAAACCTCGTGGAAAATCGTGAAAGCAGAACTAAGTAATCTTAATAGTGACCAATTTATAAAAGAAATCGTAATAAATAATAATATTATAACTGATCCAAACTCTATTGCCAATGAATTTAATAATTATTTAATTGTTACTTAACAAATTCAAAAAAGAAGGCTAAGGAAAGGATCAACACAAACAAAACTCTTTTGATAAATAGTATTTATTTACAAGCACCCTAAAGAAATACCTAATATAGTAAAATCATTAAGAAATACAAATTCGACAGGATACGTATGATATATCTACTAAAGCAATCAAATATTGTGCTGATGAACTAAATGAGCCGCTCACTTATCTAGTGAATCTTTCATTTAAAAATGGCACTTTTCCTGAATTGCTTAAAATATCTATTGTCAAGCCTCTACATAATAAAGGTACGAAAACTGATATGGCCAATTACCGTCCTATTACATTAATTCCGGTGCTTTCTAAAGTTTTCGAAAAAGCGATGACAACAAGGCTGCTCAATTTTGCTTTCAAATATAACATGATAAGGCCAGATTAATTTGGATTCCAACAAAATAAATCCACTTCATTGGCAGTTTTCCATTTGCTACAAGAAATAGTAGAAAATGTAAATAAAGGAATACCAATATCTAGTATATTTGTTTATATGAGTCTCGCCTTTTGATTTCGTATCTCGTATGATTTGCTTCTTCAAAAGCTAGAAAATCATGGAATTAGAGGATTAGCACTTGACTGGTGAGCCTCTTATCTATCTAACAGGAATCAAACGGGAGAAATTAAAAATCTAGATAGAAAATTTCACGTGGTTCGAATAAATCACTTTATCGTGTAAATGCATGCGGCGTGCCTCAAGGTAGCACACTTGGACCAGTATTATTTCTCATCAATGACTTGCCTGACATAACGCAGCACAAATGCGTATTATTTGCAGATGATATATCTATAACGATACCATGTAAAGACAATGTAGTAAATTACGAATCTGATATAAATAACACAAATGCATTAGTGGTTAAATGGCTCAACAACAATAATTTGACAGTCAACTTTAATAAAACTAATTTCATTCAGTTCGGAACTCTCAGACATAATAAATTACAACTGAATATTAATTACAATGGTCATATTCTACAAGAAGTACAACAAACAAAATTTTTGGGTGTAATTATTGACGATAAGTTCGAGTGGAAACTGTACTGAATAATCTCCATCGTTATGTTTATGTTTTGAGAAGATTGCGGGACACATCCGCTATGTCTACGACTCTAGAAACCTTTGATGGTTACGTTGCATCCTTACTTCGATACGGACTTGTGATTTGGGGAAATTCAACAGAAGTAAGTAAATTATTTACAGCACAAAAAAAATGCGTACGGGCAATGTGTGGTTTAGGACCCCGAGAATCTTGTAGACCGTTATTTAAGTATCTTAACATCTTGCCTGTCTCGCTGTCTTGTATGTACATCTTTGAAGTATCCAATTTTGTAAATAATAATAATAAACTTTTTTAAAAAACGCGAGACATTCACCATATAAATGTACTGTATAAGTACTGTATAAGTTTACTGCCTCAGTGGCCGAACGGTGACCATGTCGGACTGCCACGCAGAGGTCCCAGGTTCGATTCCCGGGCCGGGAGAAATGTTTGTATGGCTTACATTTATTTCTCTCGTGAGTTTGGGTGTAATTTGTGGTTGTCTATGTGTGTGTCCATGGCACCCGCGACACAGGGTTTCCCTAGTGCGGGGCTATGTTGAGTGTGTGCGTTATTTATTTATTATTAAATGTAAGGGGTCCAGACAGATTAGTTTTTAATAGTTATACTAAACTAAGTTACTATCAGAAACAGTGCGGGGCCATGTGTGTGAGGATATATAATGCTTTACCCTCTGATATAAAAATGATAAATAATAATCTTCTATTTAAACGTCAGCTGATGTCATGGCTAAGAGAAAAAAATTCTATTCAATTAATGACTTCTTTACATATAATTCTCAATAAATTTGACTACTTAACTTATTTGATAAAAAATGTATTTATATTTTTGAGATCTTCAGGACATGGCAATAACTTACTATTATAATATATTATCTTTATGCATGATAGGACTTGCTTTAGAATTGTTTAGCTGCCAATATGTTGACATTCATAGATTTGCATGCCGATAGCGGTAAAATATGAGTACTGTTTTATTATGTAACTTGTACCACCTATTGTAAACCATATTTTAAGCAAATAAATTTCATTCATTCATTCATTCATTCACTCTATTGAATTTATCATAATTGTCAGTTTTAATTGTTAATCAAAAACATTGTAAAGATTGAAAGTTAATTAATTGTTAATTGTAGATATACGCATTTCTAGATATAATTGCGAGAACAGCCATTCAAAATTAATTACTGTTCTCGCAACTAATAATTAATCAATTGTTAATTGCGGTTTCGCAATTGACAATTAATTAATTGTCAATATTTAATTGCCTGAACAATTAAATTTTGCCCAACACTGCCTATGAGTATTAAAAACGAGAATGAGAAGCTGCGATAAAGACTATGATGTTTGTCTTATAAATTTGGTGATTTCCATAGCCTGTTCTAAGCTCTTCGAGTAAAGATTGTGACTTCTTTTTGGTCGAACCCATTTAGGAAACAAACTTATAATAAATCATAGCATGGTTGTTTTGGACAATTCGTACGAAGTTATTGTTATTTTGTCACTTATAGTACAAGGAATTCACTAGTTTGAGACCTATATATTTGAGGCAATGGGTGCTCGTCTGGCACAAATATACCTTTTTTTCTGAGAGCTTCATTTTAATGCTTACTAGAAACGGCAAATCATAAAAATGCGTCAAGTGTCGAAGTTATCCTATTTGGGATAACAATAATATTGCTGCTATTTTATGGTTGTTGAATTGCCTCACTGGCCCGCTGATGATTACAATGGTTGCCTTTTTTTAAGTCAACAATACACATTTTGCATTGTACGCGCCGAGTATGATGATATAACAGAATTTCAATTTAAGTGCTTTTAATCTACCAATACATTCTAAAGGAAATTAGCATTTTGAAGCATAAAGATTTCGGTGATAAATTTATGTTTCTCACATAATACAATGTTTCAATAGATTGAAACTTGTTTGGGATTTTTCTGCAAATATTTTACGATATTTTACCAACCGCGGGCTAACCGTAACGCTTAGTAGAAATGGTGTCTTAACAGAAACACTGAATAAGAAAGACAATATCCGTGCAAAACCAGACTGTTTTTCGCCTTACGCATCTTATATTTCTTATTAATAAAAAGTATAATAAATATTCTCTCTCTCTGTATCCATATTTTGATACCAGGTAAACGACCAAATTTTCCCGCAAGTGGTTCACGGATTTCTGGACACGAATCCCATAATCAGGGAGCAAACAGTGAAGTCTATAGTCCACCTCGCACCAAAGCTCAATTATAATAACCTGAATGTGGAAGTGTTAAAACATTTTGCGCGGCTGCAGTCCAAGGATGACCAGGGTGGTATCAGGTTGGTACTGTTCTAAATAAAGCCAAATATCTTTAGAACCAAAATAAAAATTATACAAAACACAACAAACTACTTTAAGAAAATGTTAATGAAAAATGGATGTCAAAACATATATGCCACTTCGGATGATGAATTTGGCCACCTGTTTTATGTTTATGATATTTCCTTCGTACTGTACGAAGAGCACGTCAAGCTTGATACTTTGAACTTTGGACCGTTCTTATCGTAAGCGGCATAGAGTTGGATTTAAATCTTAGGTGTCAAGCTCGGCGCGCTCTTGGCCCTGCACACCGTGTCAATTTGAAACGAAATTTATAATTTAGCATCAGTGTAGCCAACTTAGCGACTTTGTCGCTAGATTAAGCAACATTTTGTTTCTATTTAACGACAAGAAAAATTTAGCTACTTTTTTGGCGCCTTTTTAATTAAGTTTCGTCTATTAACATTTAATATGATTTCATCTTATCTCATATATTTTCTACTCAATGGTAGGATTGTATTGGTCTTTATGTTGTAAATTATGTCCAGACACTGTCGCAGGGCACTGTGACTGATATCTCCGGTGCTAGTCCGGATAACTACTAGAGGATAAGCTAGATATCCTCCGGTCTATCCAGTCGCGTAGGAATGATGGGAACTGGAGAGAAGCTTCGACGCCGGGAAGTGAGAGTGCCTACAGCTCCATCACTAGGGAGGAGAGTTGATAGTTAGTTCAATTTAGATTCAACAGCTTAGCAGTAGCAGCTGTTAATAAAATTGTGCAATGCATAACGGGAAGTGAGCGTGCCGACAACTCCGGTACCTATCTAGAAAATAGGGAGGGTACAGTACGTGCACTCGAGGCACTCACCCAAGGCACTGGCCTTTTGAGCACTGGATGAAGTCCGTGACAACAGTCTGATAACCCTGTCCACGGGCTGATCTAGGTTCAGGATCTGAACTTTTAAGGTCCCTCCGCGGGCTTGCTTGCACAGGTTATAGCACTATATCTTCCCGTACAATCTTGAGGTCGATACAGAGGGGGACTATAATCAAAACTTAAGTTGAAAGATATGGGCCTGGTCTTTTATCTGTGACATGACCATAAAGGTCTTGACAATGAAATTAATTTTATGATGAGCACCATAAGAGTAGAATTGAATGAGGAAATACAGTTTTAGCGACAATTTGCAACTTTTAATCCTTCTGTCTAGCGACATTTGCCTTAGTCTAGTTTGCAACACTGTTGAACATGCATCACATCTGCCTAAAATTTCGGCTCCGAGCAAGTTTGATAAAAACTCATCCAAAAAAAACTTCTCTCTATGACGAAATTGTAATTTATGATAGAAAGAAAATTGTATAGAATCAATATCACATGAGTTCCAGCAGATTGTAGCCACTCCTATAGTTATGAAGTCCATAGTATACCGCCATTATTTTGCAAGGAATTTATATTTCCATACATACAATAAAAGAAACTATTACTTCTAATGATATATTTTTAAGGCACCTCCTAATAGTCGAGTCTAACTATTAATTATTTGTACTGAAAGCTTCTTATTTTCCTACAGGACCAACACAACAGTCTGCTTAGGCAAGATAGCAGCGCATCTACACCCTCAAATTCGACAAAAAGTCCTTGTGTCAGCTTTCGTTAGAGCAACTCGAGACGCTTTCCCTCCAGCGCGACAAGCAGGTGTCCTTGCTTTGGCTGCTACTCAACAATACTTTTTACTGGCCGAAGTGGCCGTTAGAGTTCTGCCTGCACTTTGCCCTTTAACTGCAGACCCTGAAAAGCAGGTGAGTATATGCAAGAGTAACCTTTCGTTGCTACTTTAGCTGAAGTAAGAAGTAGAACTGATTCTAACAGAACTTTGTCCATTGTAATGCTGACCCTGAGAAACATGTATAAAGAACATAGTCACGCTGATCACGCCACGCGTTAACGCCATGCTGAACTGTGCATAGGACATGTTTGCCATCGTGGTGAATACATTTGCCAATCGGCGCAAGGTACTCGGCGATTGTTGCCCAGTTTGTGCCAGACGTACTAGGAATACAATTCGTCGATTAAGTCCTTAGGTAAGGCTCCTTTCGTGCATCCCAAGCAAGTAACGAATCAAGAACATGTTTTAGATGTTACTTAATAATACTAAAGTGAAGTGGAGAATATGATGCTGCCTACACAGTATCCGATAAGTGCAGACCCTAAGCAGACAGAACTGGACCTGACTCATCAAATAACTGTTCGATTGTATAGAAAATAGAAATCATTTTAATTTTGCATGCAATCATTTTAATTTTGTAATATAATAATAAATTGTGTGCAAAATTTTGAACTCTTCAAATTAAACGGATTTCATTTTTTGTCTATTAACAGTTGGTATTCAAATCAACGACAAGTCTGTATCTCTGAATATTATACAATATTTAACATTTAATTTTATATGCAATAAAATGTTATTACAATTTTGAGCAAAAATTAAATCGACGACCTTGTTTACGACACTACCTTTATTGATCTTTTTTTGTTTTAATTACTGAAAACTACATTGAAAAATCTTTGCTTGACCGCCCGAAGTTGTCCCTAAATATTTTTAGTAGTAAGCGAAGTCTTTGACATTGTTTTGTATTATAAATAGAGATAATCATATACAACCTATTTTAACTCGTTAAACACCACCTCATGTTTAGGCTAATGACTTTGCCAAAGCCTTAATAAATAAAAAAAATCGTTAAACACCATCTTGCAACGATTTATTTTACTTGGAAATGAGTGCGATTCATCTGAACTGAGTTCGTTACCATCCCTTCTTTTTAAACGATTTAATATATTGTTTTTGTTCATAGGTACGCGACGCCGCTTTTAGAACTATCAAAGGCTTCCTCGGCAAGTTGGAGAAGGTTTCAGAAGACCCTAGCTTGAAAGAAGGAATGGGTATGAGTTTTTTGTACAGTCAAGACCACATCAAGCTTGGCACTTTGTACTTTGGACCATTCTTATAGTAAGCGGCATAAAGTTTTATTTAAGTCTTAATTGTCAAGCTTGAAGTGCTCTTAACCCTGTACGAGTCTACATTTCCACATAAAATAATATTTCCCAAACACATTACGTTTTAGAAAATCGAACTACAACAGAGTGCAACGAAAAGGTGCGACCCTATATACGAAAAATAAGGTCATTCTTTTTTAAATTTGTGAATAAACACTTTGAATTTCCACGAGAATATACGCGACCAATTGTCAACTTCATGCCATCGTCAACAACTCTTTGTACAATTCACTGCTGGGCTCTAGTCTCCTATAAGGAGAAACTATATATTAGAATTGTTTTATCGGCATTTATTTTTCCTTTTGTTTCACATCCAGTATAGATTACGTTTTGCAATAAAATAACCAAGTCACTAAAACTCCACTGTAACCTTCTTACCATGCCAATAAACGTAAAAATTCTAGAAAGCACGAATTTGACCACATGGACAACAATATCAATGGTGTTTTAAAAAACGTGAAATGTGTTGGTATTAGGACATGGCCGACAGCTCATTAAGTGTGCCATTGTTCCGGACGGAATATGACCTCAATTTTAATCATACCCACTTGTGTTAAGCATTACGATATACTGCGTTTATTTGCAATTATTTTGTTGAATTGACTACAAAACTGCTGATTACAATACCATGCTGCGCTCTAACTGAAATGTAGCTCGGAAGACAACACCATGACTCAAAGCGGCGACACGTCTGACTCGTCGACAATGGCAGGGATGATTTGGACCTCTTCTCAAAGGACTGGTCAGTTAGAGGCCTCAACTGGGACCAATGGCCTTTACCCAGCAGTGGGAAACAAACAACTTATATTTTAAAAAATTGAAAATATTGCAACTTCTACTTTATAACTTTGATGGCAAACCGTTCTTAAATGAATAATACAAAATAGGAAAAAAGCACACGGAACTATAATTATTAAAATTTAATTTTTTCTTTATATTTTATTAACAACCTTCACTTCTTAAGTTAACTAAAAATCTTTGACGTTAAAGTTTGTTTTGTCTGCAGAGGCGGACGTACACACTGCTACACCGTCTTTGAGCAACGCCGCCGCAACTTGGGCAGGCTGGGCGGTGACCGCCGTGACCGCGAAGTTCTACCGCTCGCACTCGGACACCGCTCGAGTACAGCATCCTACTAAATCTGCGCTATCGAAACCGGGATCACTAGGTACCTAATATTTCAATCTACTGCTAAAGTGATGTACTTTAGGTAATAATGCAATGTCCAATATTTATAAATTAAGATAATAATTATTGATGCTAGTATTTTCACAATCAAAATAATATCTTGTTTAAAAATATGCTTATTTATCAGAGAAATGAAAACATATACTTACATCTGTATTAATCATTCATCTTGTTTGCAGAGCAACCTTCATCGAGTAGCATGTCTACGACTACTTCATCTGTGACCTCGATGACGTCATTGGAGCATAGCGAGTCCGCCTCCGATTATGACCCTGACCATTGGGACATGACTGCATGGGGAGAAATTGATTCAAGTGCAGGTATGTATAACAAACTTTAGAATTAACTATAATATTATGCATATAATATTATTGGTTAAAAATTTTTTGTTAATCGAATTACGCAAAACATTTTAATCGATTACTATAACAGTGCCGAATCCTTTAAGTACAACACTAGCTGTCAAAGTGAACTGACAGTTCTCCTGACGTTTTTTTTAATGGTGTTTCTTGCGTCTTCGAATCTCCTGTGACCGTTTGTAGAATAATTTTTCCACAAATTACTGTGAATTAGGACACATTATATGTGAAAATGTTTTCCACAAGTACACAGAAAAAGTTTTGGACATTTAGTGATGAGATCGAGTTAGCACGCCTTCGTGAAAAACACAACTTAGAATTCATTGGAAGACACGGTGTTCAAGTTGACGAATACCAAAAGTACAACTTGTTCCTGTCACCTGAAGAAGAAAGACTTCTGTTGCGACAATATGAACTACATTTGAAAGAATTTTGCAAAAGATTCAGCCCTCCTATGCCAAAAGGTGTCATCGGTACTGCTTTTCATTATTTCAAGCGATTTTACTTATACAACTCGTCAATGGATTACCATCCGAAAGAAATCCTTGCTACCTGTGTTTACTTAGCATGTAAAGTGGAAGAATTCAATGTATCCATCAGTCAATTTGTAGCAAACATCAGAGGAGACAGAGAAAAAGCATCTGACATTATACTAAATAATGAACTACTGTTGATGCAACAATTGAACTATCATCTAACAATTCATAACCCATTCAGACCTGTAGAAGGCTTCCTGATTGATATAAAGACTCGATGCTCACTTGCTAACCCAGAGCGTCTTAGGGGAGGCATAGATGAGTTCCTGGAAAAAGTCTTTTTGACTGATGCATGCCTTTTATATGCACCATCACAGATTGCATTAGCTGCAGTGTTGCATGCTGCTAGCAAGGAACAGGAAAACCTAGACAGTTATGTCACTGACATGTTATTCCGAGAATCTGGTCCAGACAAACTAGCAATACTAATTGAGGCTGTTCGTAAGATTCGCTCAATGGTGAAAATGGTGGAAAGTCCAGCTCGAGAACGTGTGAGGGTTATTGAGAAGAAGCTAGATAGATGTCGCAATCAGGAAAATAATCCCGACAGTGAGATATATAAGCGACGCATGAGAGAACTTTTAGATGAAGATGATGTGCCTATGACTGGAGCTAGCCGGATGTCTTTAGACACAAGCGGAGTCAATCAAGTTCTATCACCCTCTGCTTCTTGAATTTGACTTATTAATTTAATTTAGATTTAATATTAAATGACATAATTTAGTTTTTTTTAAGGTTCTGTAAGATGATTTGTTAATATAAAATGAAATTTATGTAGAATTTTATTAATTTTCCTTTTTTTTATGATTTCTATGCAATGGAGATCTTATTTAATTACACTACTAAATAATTAAAAGTGAACACAACTTGCTGAAAGAATGTAAAAATAAATAAAAACAAGAAACTACAAGTGATGAAGGATCTCAGGCACAATCAAACTAAAAAGAAAAAATAATTCCGTGAAGATGCAATTAAATGGTTTAGTATGATTTGTAAAGGGACATCAAAAGTATATCACTAATGTCACTATGACAATATTACATTAAACTACTCACTAAATAATATACAATTGGTGAAAATTACACAAATACAAATGTTCTCTAGATTATATGTATAACTTTCCACTAATTGTATGCTTAATTCCAACCATATTCAAATATTTATAATTTGATTAGTCAGGTAAAAAGTTGTCATTTAGTACCAACTAAATGACAACTTTTTACCTGTATGTTATATTAGTGACAAAAATTTAATTTAGATTTTTGTCCGCCATTTCAAGCATTCAATGTTGACGAAGGATTAAGCGTTTTGTACTAATTTAAGTCCTTCAGGTGCCCGCCCTAATCCTGTAACCGCATCAGGGAATCGGACATGGTAACTTACGTTATATGGTCGAGTTTTCAAAAACGAATCGTAACATTAAACGAAAAACGACAAATGAGTAAAAATAGACCTAAGTCCTCTTATACATATACTTTCAACTCTGCTGGTCAACTTTATTGCTCTGTTTGTGATTAAACAAAATTTGGTATGGCGAGTCATATTAGGGCACACACTAGGAAATAATCTCGAGAGAGTCGCTGTCATCGAAATCTATAAGAAGGACTATATATTAATATATCGAATCAATTATCTATGAGGGCTGTTCCTTGATTTTGAATCTGAAACAAAAATTTAATTTTAGAGACAAGTCATTTCTCTTTTTTAATACCTAATAATCTTTTAATTGAAATTAGGCAACTTGAAACAGCACCATAATAATAATAAGCTAAATTCCACTAGCAGCTTGAGCAAATTTAACGCATCCTTATTAAAGAGCTCTAGGCATAAAGTATTTATTAAATGTTGGAGTGTGACGCACCATCACACATAAATTGAACCCTTTTGTATATTTATTAACCTGTTACTAGGAACAGGCGCAAGTGCGAAATCGCCACCCAGCAGTGGTAGTGCTCAGCCTAATACGCCCGGGCTTACCGCACTCTGCGAAGATGAATGGGACAACGACGAGTGGGGCACACTGCAAGAGCAGCCGGTAAAATTTCGTTATCATTTATCTATTTGGCTTTATCCACTAGAGAGAGTATTGTTAAAAAATATCGATAATTATGTGTGTACGGGTAATTCTATACAAAACTTTTTTTAAGTGTGCTATGAAATGCTTCATTTACATTTCGGATGCAGTTTGGGCGCCTTCAACAACGTATTGCTATATCAAGTACTGCACAAGCAAACAAATGCTTGGCAATTATTATAATGTGCCAGATAACCACACCAATTATCTGGTCTTGAACTCCATGTACTCAGAACACGCAGACCAGAATCGATTAGAAAGGTTCATTTCCCAAATTGATCCTACCGAAAATGGAACGTGGTACCACCACTTCCAGCGCCCGCAGTGCAAACCGCCACTCACGTCGATGAGTGTCAGGAGAATTACACGTGACGTGTAATGTTTTTTTTTAGTTATATGAAACTGATTGGAGTTTTGTTTTACATTATAAGTTAAGATGGTTGTTCACAATTTATCATTGGTTGTTCGCAATTTAACTGCCTCTGTGGCCGAATGGTTACCATGCTGGTCTGCCACACAGTGGTCTCAGGTTCGATTCCCGGGCCGGGAGAAATATTTGTAAGACCTACATTTATTTTTATTTCTCTCAGATGTTTGTGTGTCTCGAGGCCTAAGTGTGCCATGGCACCCGCGACACAGGGTTTCCCTATAGCGGTGCTATAATTGTGTTGCGTTAAGAAAAAACAATCTCAACTGACGGTACAGACTAAAATAGCACACGCTCGTCTATTCACTCTGACTCCATTGTATTTCAGTGTATTATGTTTCAATTGCATTTTATCTTCCTAAATTGAAGTTTGTTTATAACCCCTCAGTCAGCAGAAGCTGAACTCGCGAGTCCATCAGAAACGTGGAACAATGCACAATGGGCAGATCCGGCAGTGAACCGGCCTAACGCTACTTACGTCCGAGGAACTACTTCTACGACTACCCGCGAACATAGACTGGCTGCACCTCAGAACAGTAATGATTCTTTGGGCGGATGGGAAGATGGAGAGTTTGAACCTATCGAGGAAGATGTGGAGGGTAAGTACATTATTATTTAAGATAGTTCTCAATTTTTTGATGAGCGAGTAATCCAAAATGACTTTTGAATTCAATATTAAGATGGATTAAATCCTATCTCAGCAACAGGCTGTCGTAGTAAGTGATTTTAGATCGGATTTTGCACCTATGGGGGTGCCTCAAGGTTCTCATCTTAGACCTTTGTTCTACAATTCCTACATATTTGATATAACGAAGTGTTTCAAAACCGCTAAACACCTAATGTATGCCGATGATAAAAAATGTACCTCAAAATAAATAACTTTAATGACTGTAACATCCTACAGCAAGATTTAAATTAATTATATTAATATTACGATGAAAACAGAATAAATATTAACATAAATAAATGCCAATGCATCACATTCACACCCAAAACAATACCTGTATGTCACTCCTACAACTTTAATGGAGTCCCAATAGAGAGGGTTAACTTAATACGGGATTTGGGCGTATATCTTGACCAAAAAATGCTTCTCTCAGATCACATAAACATTATTGCTGAAAAAGCGTTTAGAAATATGGGATTTGTTTTGCGTACGTGTAAACCTTTTAAAGACATTGTGACTATTAAATCCATATACTACGCATATGTTCGGAGCATCTTGGAGTATGCTAGTCCCATCTGGACCCCCAATATAACATCCACATTAGTCGACTTGAAAGGGTTCAAAACAAAAATTCACCCGGCACACTAATTTTCGTCTTCGCAGACCCACCATAACCTACACAGAGGATTGTCGTAGAAATAATTTATTAACACTAGAAGAAAGGCGAAAGTCTTTGGATGCATGTTTATTGTTCGACATAATCCGGGCACGGGTAGACTGCTCCGAGTTAGTGGCTGGAATTACTTATCGCACTCCGCGGCGACGTACACGTCACACATCACTGTTGCATGTCCCACAACATTCGACCAATTATGCCGCCAATGCAGTCCTCACTCGGTTACCGCGACTGTACAATAACTTGTTTCGAGACATCGATCCGTTCACTGTTTCTAAGCACACATATAAAAAACAGGTACACAAAACTTTGTTTGGCACGATCAATTAGTAAATGCGGGAAGTGTCGACTATGCTTCTCTACAATATAATAATTCTAAAATACAATTGCACTTTATGCACTATATTTGCTAATAAAAACACTTATCACTATATAAAGACGCAAAATTTATACATCGCATGGTAAAACTATTCATAATATTTTAACTAATGTAGAAATGCTACTATCCATCCTCGGCGGTTGCTTACATGAAGAATGGTAATAGAATAGGTACCCTAGTAACTTCATTTCATCATTCTGGTGATAAGACGAAAGACAATAGCTGCATTAAAAAGGTCACTTTTTTAGTAGTGTCTGCTTGGCGTAATGACTTGTTATTTTATGAATGATTATTAGAATGATTATTATTTTATCTTTAAACAACAAGTGATTTTGTGATGTTTGTGATATTTGATACTTAAATGATTCGTTTTAGATTTTAATTTTAGCTTGTTTTCAGGATTTTATATAATCGCATGAAGTATATCCTATCGTGTAACACATTAGCACATTCTTTAGACAATGTCCTTAGGTGTGTCGTATATTTTTTTAAGATCTTAATTTAATAATAAATATGTAATGCTTCGCCTCTGATGACTCGCATTGCGGTGGCAACTCTTTCTTTGTGTAATGTCTCGGTAAACAGTTGGTAACGTACTACCGTGAAATGAATTGTTCATTGCCTATTTAAAGTAAATGTGTGTATGGTGAGACCATATAACATTATTACAGAAGCAGAGGGGACAGGGATTGTCTGACGAGTATAAGTTACAAAGCCGAACGCCAGTGACGCCTTGTATTATACGAGTTAGGCAATCTCCGTTCCCGTCGAGGTATGTATAGTGCTTTTCTTAAAAAAATGTTAGGAAGTAACAAAAACTAAATAGGTAATGAAGCGAAGGTTCAAATTGTAATATAAATTGTCTTACTCAATATACTTACGTTCGTGAATTGTAAGTAGATATAAGTTTAGAACGGCAGACAAAAACGGATTTTCATACTTACTTTCCTAGCCCTATTTTATGTGTTCACTTATTAAAAATAATGCAAATATTTCTGAGGATGTTTAAGAAAATTAATTTTACTGAAAGGAACTAGAACAAAGGTAGCATGTACCCCTTAATTCTTATAAATCACTGTATCTGCTCAGTCATTAAACTCGTTTTGATGTCTATGCTTTGTCAAACTTTAGTACCTAAAGTTTTATTAATCTTTGGCAGAAAACAATACCTCAAAAATGGACGAAATGCGTCGGAAACGCGAAGAAAGAAAACTGCAGAGGCAAAGAGAAATGGAGGCCAGGCGCTCCGCCCGCGGGCAAGGACCCATGAAGTTGGGCTCCAAGCTCACTACAGCGCCACCGCCCTTCTAGTCCACGGAGTAGGTTTATGTTCTATATGATAATGTGAGTGTATTCCAATTCTTGTATGAAGTCCCTTGAACCTACTATATCGTATCATTAACAAAATACATTTGTACATTCTTCAAGAGTTACTTTTCTAATGCCTGAAAAGTCTACAATTACATTAGAAGCAAATTCTGATATAAAGTAAAAAATATAATATCGTCTGCTTAAATGTAAAACCACATAAGTGACATTTTCCACAAAAAGTCTTTAATTTATATAGCTCTTGTAAGAAAATCCTATCTTTCTGTAGATAAAACTATTAGGGCGCATATATTTGACACGAATTTCATCACGTTCACCCCGCGCGGTCGCCGAGCGGAGTCCGCGCTAGTTTTATTCAGTGGAATTCAAATGTTGTGTTGCCTAGTAAATAGAATTCAGATTCGCCATTAACGTACATGAAGGCGTGGTAACTGGGCGGAGACCGCGCGAAAACTTTCTCCTCGTGTAACTGGGCGCTTATTATGTTTATAGCTATTTTGTTATTGAGTTTCACCTGGAGAAAGATAGTGATTTTCTTAACATAGCTATATAAATTAAAGTCTTTTTGTCATTGACCTACCAACAAATGGACGTCGGGTCTAATACAAAAACCACGAAAAAAATGTCCGAAGTTAACCTATACAAACGTAGTGACATGTAACGAAATATAAAAAAAACTAAAACATTAAATTTAAATTGTAACGTCATTGCAGTACTGCCTAATTTTGCTTACAACAATTTAAGGGCCCAAAAACACCATATTCAGCTTCTACTGGAAACTTAACAAAATGCACCATATGTATTTTACTTTCGACTGGAAATTACTTGAATACAAGAGTAATGGAGCAGCCCTGATTGTAAATATTAATTAATTTTTATATCTATTTTTATGTCGAATTTTGTTCAAATTCTCTTAAAGAAATAATAAAGAGTTGGGCACATACGTACATAGAAATATTACAAATGTGAAAATAACCATGTACTATAATAAAATAATAAATATACCGATATTCCAACTTAACATGAACTCAAATATCCGTAATTACGAAAACCGATTTACAATAAAACTGTTACGCTTTCAAGTAATATTGATGCTTTTCACAAAGACAAAATTAGCTTTTGTTTTGTAATATTCCTAAAAAAATACATTTGACATTACGAAAATTCGAGCTAACGTTATTTTGGGCAAATGTATTTTCTGATTTCTGATAAGTAATTTCAAGCCGTAAAACGAGTACAACAATATTTTATTACTTATTGCTAACGTGAAGAAACGAGTTAATAAATATCATTTTTAAAAGTATGTTTAAAATCGAAACGACTCTATAGTTTCTTTGTTCTAATCTAAATATATTTATATTGAATCGCTTGTGGTTCGAACAATTGAAAATGACTAAGAAGTTTATATAAGCTTCTTGAAAGTGACGTAATGGGTCTCTTTCCATCTTTTGTGCATGCAATGTGTAGGCAAAGGACAATTAGCTATTTAATTAGTTTGTTTGCTTTTGTAATTTATATTTACAATTAATTTAAATATAAATTAAATACTATACAACTATACAAAATCACACTTTTAAATGATAACTATGATAACACAATATATTTGTATAGTGAAAATATGATACAAAATCCTGTTTTTAAACTTTACTGCATGATTGACAACCGCGCTGTCAGTCGAACAAACGAAGACTGTTGCGCGATTGACGCTCTGTATGCGATTTTAACGCCCTATAGGTGCGGACACTTTTTACCGAGAACCCGACGTACATTTGTTGGTAGGTTAATGCTTTTTGTGGAAAACGTCACTTATGTGGTTTTACCTTTAAATAGACGATATTACCAATTGTAATGAGTAATAGGGTTAGCACATTAGGGCGCAACTTGCGCAAGAGAGTCATAGTAGATCTCGCGCTATATATATATATATATATATATAGCGAAATATATATACACATATATATATTTCGTTATTGCTATGTATCTCGCGTTTTATGTGTATATTAAGGGTCAAACTCTACTTATCACACCGCGACACCGCGTTGTGCCCTCTTTAAAAATTGTTTTGTCTTGAGAACTATTCACATCAAGCTATGCAATCAGCGGATTATCGTAATGCTAAAAATAAGTTCGTGAGATATCATGCTATTTCATAATAAATAAAATACTTCAAGGGATTTCAAGTAGAATGAATCTATGACCGATCACATTATCTTTTTGTGCGCCACAAAACGAAAGCTACCACATTATTATACGACAATTTTATTTAGTAAATCTTCCATACCATTTTTGCATTTATAATGTTTCGACAAAGAATATGAGATGCATGTTACTAAATTATTTATTGTCTGAGATCATTCTGAGATACATAGATTATTCCTATATTTCTATTATATGTGCACCTTGTCCAACCAAATATAATTATTATTTGTCCAACTAAATATATTGTCGCTACCAGCACCTTTGAGGTTTGTTTACTCGAAGGATCTGATGCTTGTAAAATCTAATGCGACATTGATATGCAGTTTTGTGTATTATTATAATTCAAAAGTATCAGTATGTCACCCGTGACCATGGGACCTGTAACCGTGATTACATATACGCGAATTAAATCTAAAAAATAGCTTCATTTCTTATGTGTAACAATCGCGAAAACCTACTTGATATACTTAAATAGTCTATAATAGAAAAATTTCGCAAAAACGTAAAGTACTTGGGAAAATCTTTGCATATAGCATATCAATGTCTTACTGGTTGATACATATGGTGAGGTTTATCGAAGAACTTCTTAACATCACGTCCAAGTCAAAATATCCAATGTCGCAAGATGAGCGCAGGACAATTCATGTTCAGATTTGCCATAGGATGTTCTCCGGTAAACCCATTTATGTGTAGTACTTAACAAATGATAAAAATACTATAGGGAACAATAATGTAAATTAAATGCACCAATAGCGCTCAAGTGAGATTAGACGCCAATAAGGCGTGTATTATATAGGAAACAATATTTTGCAGATGAGGACAATGTGGACTCGTTATTGTTCTGTTAGCAACATTTCTTATTTGTTGACGCGGACTTTTAAGGTGAACACTCATATTTCAGCGTTTTAAGCGCAGACCACACCGCGAATGTAGCTAGCTAAGTTAGCTAAGCTCACGCAGTTGCATGCAAGCAACTATAGTCTGTCTTTTTTAAAGGCTGAGTAAAATGACAATTCATTGCGGAAAAGTGTTCGAGAGCTTGCGAACAGCTAGTGATTGCAGTCGATAAATATTCTATCGACTATCGAGTGAATATCGGTTACGCTAATGGAATAAATTGCCGAACCTGTTTCATGTTAATCATCCTCCACCCAATATTCATCCGATTACAGAGAACACGTTCATTTGAATTGTCAATTTTTGTAAGTTCATACGTATACACTGTATTTAGACCTATGTTTATGAAATATATAAGGAGGAGACATATTTCAAAGTTTTTTATTTTAATTCAATATAGATAATAAAACCCGGCTATTCTTGTTAAAATGCATATTAATAAAAATTGATATCGATAGTAGTAGGCCAACTGTCAAAATAAGAATAAGAGCAATAGCGCAATTAATAATCAGTAGAACATCGTGACATTCACAATTCAGTAATTTTTGGCAAATATTTATCTTCTTTCACAATCTATTGATAAAACTGTCGACAACAACTACATGATTATTTAAAATTTTATGTAAACTGGCAACCCTACAAAAGTCATTTTACTTCTAGCTGGCATATAGTCGGTCTTCAAAAAAGGTAAAAGCTAAGTTAAGAAAATACATAGTAAGTAGTGTCTATGGATACGTGCGGGAGTTAAGGGCGGCAGAAGGGCGACATATTTTACGTAGGTAGCGGGATCGTTGGGTTAGTTAGCTCGATTAGCTTAGTTCGCGGTGTGGACCGAAGTATGAAAAGATGCCCCGGCTACGTGAGCTATGTTAGCTTGGCTTCCCTCGCGGTGTGTCCTGCGCATTACGCGCCGAGTCTGATGCGCCACATCATTACTACATTTATGTTTGTTAATTACAGACGGTTTTCGAATTTCTGCAGCGATGTTGATTGTGATGTTATCAGCATTTCCGCAAAAATTCAAAAACCGCGTTTGCTCATGACGCGGCTCATACGGTGCTGTGTAATGTACATTCACCTTTTTTATAGCTTAAGTCTGACGCGCCACATCAATACAGCATTCATATTTGTTAAATACAGAAGGCTTCCGAATTTTTGCAGCTATGCTATACGTGATGATATCAGCGTTACCGCACAAATTCAAGAGTCTTCTGCAGTTGCTCATGCCGCCGGTCATACGGTGCTGAGTAATGGGCATTCACCTTTTTTACAGCTCGTACATGTAAGGGTTGCGATTTAAGTGTTAAAAAAACCTTGTAACTTTTTAGAATTAACTTTGACCATATGATCCACAGACTTTATATCTAGATAGACGCCGCAATTACAGCAATTTGTATGAAAGCCAAGCGTGGCACATTTTTGTACCCGCTATGACGTCATAAGAACTATTTAGTAATGAAAACCTTCCGCTCGCTCTATATCGATTGATTGGACGGAATACGCGTAAACACGCTTATTTCATTCAATTAATCGATTCTAAATAGAATAATTTTTGTTCAAGTATTTGTTGATTACAAGTAATCGTAATATTAATATAGTAGAAAAATACTAGAGTAAATTAGTTAAATCCTTTATTTTACTTGTTTTTAAGAAATGATGATTACTTAAAAAAAATTAAGACTTTAATTTTTAATCGACTTCTAATATTAAAATTATTTTCCTTCCAATAAAATGAGCTTATTATATAACATGTTTTTCTAATAGAAGATCTTATCGATTAACTTAAATAATGAAAACGCACGTGAATATATGAACTTGCGACTGCCTTAATTAATTTTACTAAATGGTTTTCTGTTGGTAATTGATCAAATTGATGAATGGCAAGACAAATGAAAATGTTACTGCTGACAAAATATGGTAAGAGGTTTACTTAATGAGGGCCTCGTGTGAAATTTTTGTGATTTGCTTATTATTTCTCGGATTTCTAACTCTACTACTCTACATATTTGGATAGCATCTTAGGTGGGATAAACTAGACCACCTTCGTCCTTGAAAGCAACGAACTCATACTTATGACCAACTCCAGGTTTTTGTTAAGACAGCGCACTGTTAATTTTTTGCATTATAAATATATATTTTTTTATTACTCGTACTACATATCCGGCGATGTATGCAATTATTTGCTCATTATATTCGGACATTCAAGGCGACGTGCTGCAAAAATTATCGAAATTACAGGTACTACTGATAATAGATACTACAAAACTGAAAAAAAAAGGAAACGTTACTAAACGTTATAACAAAAGAGTTGTAGAATATTTTTATAATATTGCTAAGGTCATAATAATTTTCCTCCCTTTGTTTCCAAAATCGAGAACAGTGTTGCCTAACGCAGACGT